GCCTGGCTCCTGGCGGCTTCGCGCGCGCCTGGCCTCAAACACTGTAGCTGACGACTGTGGGAGCCACGCTTCTTTACGACGGCCCTCGCGCGCAGATCCGTTCCGAAGTTGACAGGCGAAACGCCCCTGCATATACCCTTGTCGAAAGGGGGGCCGCTCGGGCACGGCATGGCCAGAGATGTACAAGCATAAGGAGCAATATAAATATATGGACATATATAGATAGAGAAGAGAGAGAGAGAAGGAGAGAGACAGAGAGAGAGAGAGAGAGAACAAAAAACAGAGAGGGAGAGAGGGTCCAGAAAGAGAGAGAGAGAGAGAGAGAAAGAGAGAGGCAGAGAGACAAAAATAGAGAGAGAGAGAGAGAAAGAGAGAGAGAGAGAGAAAGACAAAGAAACCGAGAGACAGAGAGGAAGAGAAACAGAGAGACAGAGAGACAGAGCGAGGAGGAGGGTACAGCGACAGGGACAACGAAAAGGACGGGGACTGGCACAGGGGAAGGGCCAGCGCGCTCGAAGAGAAAAAGGGAGCCTTTCACTGCGAGCGAGAGAGAGGGTGAGGGTAGATCGAGGTAGAGGAAACCAACTACATGTGTATATTTCTTCTACGGAGATCTGCACTGACAAAAAAAGCGAGAGCGAGGGAGGGACTGCATTCAGAAGCTAAAATGCAAATCGAGACCTGACGGTGATAGAGAAAGTGAGAGAGCAAGGGAACAAAGAGAGAGAGAGAGAGGGAAATAAAAAACAACAACAAGCAAATAATACTAAAACCATAGAGAGGGAGAAGGAGAGAGAGACAGAGAGAGAGGGGAAAAAAAAGAAGACAGAGACAGAGGGAAAGCAGCAACAAACATCATTATAAAGGAGTAAGAGGGAATATTCCGGGGAAGCAGCACATCGATACGATTTCGAAACAAATCAGCCCTGTGGATGTACAAGCTCTGGGGCGCAAGCTGGATGGTGCAAGCTGCGTCGTCGAAGCAATGTCGTGCAAGGCATGTGGCGTGGCGGCCACGAGGGGGCCAATGGCGGCGACGCGGCGAAACATCGGCCGACGCAAACATCAAGTGGGCGGCAACGGGGCGGCCACGAGATGGCCATGGCCGGCGACACGGCGAACCCTCGGCGGACCCAAACACTAACCAGGCGGCAGCGTGGCGGCCACGGCGGCGGCGCGGCGAAACCTCTGGCGGACCCCCCAAGTGGGCGGCCACGAGGCGGCCACGAGGCGGCCCACGGGCGGCGGCGCGGCGAAACCTCGGCGGACAGACCCAGTTCCCGTGTGACCGAAGCACAAACCCCAAATTGCAAACAGTGCTTCAGGAGCCTGGAAAAGAATGACAACACAACACCGGGAGAGAGAGAGAGAGAGAGAGAGACAGAGAGAGAGAGAGGAAAAAAAAAAAGGAGAGAGGCAGAGAGAAAGAGAGAGACAGAGAGAAAGAGAGAGAGAGAGAGAAAAAAAATAACAAAAACCACAAACAAGAAAAAGGAGAGAGACAGAGAGAGAGAGAGAGAAAACACACACACAAAAAATGAAAGGGGTCCTCTGGCTGCTTCCGGCAGCACGCCAGCAGGGAGTACATGCAGGGCCACCGGGGCACCCTGGGCGCGCCACGCGAGAGAGACACCGTGCTCCCCCGCATCGAACTGCAAACCATATTGCGCTTCCCCCCGACCACCGCCCTCCCACCCGTCCATCCCTTCTGCCGCTCCCTCTCTTTCCTTCCTTCTGCCACCCCCCCCTCCTTCCCTCCTCCCTCATCATCCCTCCTCCCTCCTTCTCCTCCTACTCCTCCTCCTGCACCATTATCAGAAGCATCAGCATCAGCATCAACATCAGCATCAGCATCAGCATGATCATCAACATCATCACCATCAACATCATCATCGTCGTCATCATCGTCATCATCATCAGCGTCATCATCATCATCATCATCATCATCATCATCATCATCATCAGCATCATCCTCATCATCATCATCATCATCATCATCATCATCATCATCATCATCATCATTATCGTCATCATCATCATAATCATTATCATCATCATTATCGTCATCATTACCATTGTCATCGCCACCATCATCATCATCACCATCACCATCATCCTGCTTCTGATCATCATGATCATCCTGGTGACCATCCGCATCATCACCAGCGCCACCGACATAATCATGGTCAGCCGATAGTGTCAAACGAACCGTCATCATCATCAGCATCCGCATCGCCACCGTCATCAACAACATACCCACCATCATCATCATCATCATCATCATCATCATCATCAGCACCATCATCACCATCGTCATCACCACCATCATCGTCGTCCGTCCTCCTCTTCCATTGCCTACTCCTCCCCATCCCCGTTTTCTAATCCTGCTGTCAGAACCTCGCTATGAACATCATCGGAATTATTTTCACCAACGCCACAATCACAATCACCAGCACTATAATCATCAGCAGCATCATCACCATCCTCACCATCCTCATCACCATCACCATCACCATCGCAGTCACCATTATCATCATTATCATCCTCCCCCTTATCATCATCACAAGCATCATCATCAGCATATTCAGAATCAACATCACCCTCCTCATCATCATCAGCAACAGCACTAACATCATCATCATCATCATGATCATTATCATCACTATCATAATCATCATCATCATCATCATCATCATCATCATCATCATCATCATCACCATCGTCGTCAGCACCATCATCGTCAGAAACCACAGCAGCAACATCATCGTTCCTCCACTCGTCCTCCTCCTGTCCTCCTATCTTTTTGGAGTCAACGCTGGCTGATATTTGCTCGAGCTGTTTTTTCGGAGCGTTGTTTCAGTTGTGCTTGAGCTTTGCTTGAGCTTTGTCTGAGCTTTGTTTGAGCATTGTATGAGCTTTGTTTGAGCTTTGTTTGAGCTTTGGTTCAGTTTTGTATGAGCTTGGTGTGAGCTTTGTTTGAGTTCTGTTTGAGTTGTGTTGGAACTATGTTGAAGCTTTGTTGGAGCTTTGCTGGAGCTTTGCATGAGTTTTGTTTCCGCCTGGTTTGAGCTTTGAGCTTGCGACGGCGACGACCACGACGACGACGACGGAGCGTTCAGTCGGGCGGGCGGACGGGGAATCAAATGCAACCTTCACTCTGCGATAAGACATATCATGAGAGAATACATCACTACCACCAGGAACGCCGTTCGGGCGGGCTGGACATCGAATATACGATTCACCCAGAGATGGACCTTTCAGTCGGGCGGGTGGTCGGGACATTACATGGAACATTCGGTCAGTGATGGGGCGTCACCATCATCATCACAATCATCAACACCACCACCGTTTGCATCACCATCATCACCTCCGCCGCCACCATCCCCATCATCATCAACAACATCAGCATGATCATCATCAACAGCATCAGCACCGTCATCATCATCATCATCATCATCATCACCATCATCATCACCACCACCATCATCATCATCATCATCATCACCATCATCACCATAATCATCATCATCATCATCACCATCATCATCATCGTCATCATTATCATCATCATCATCATCATCATCATCATCATCATCATCATCATCATCATCATCATCATCATCATCATCATCATCATCATGGTCCTCGTCGTCCTCTGCATCCTCGTCGTCGTCATCGTCATCATCAACAATCATCACCCTCAGCAGCAGCATCATCGTCGCGGGCAGCGCAGAACGGCCCCGGCCCCAGCAACGGCCCCAGCCCCAGCCCCAGCCCCAGCCCCAACCGGCCGAGCCCGGCCCCGGCCGGCCACGGCCCCAGCCCTGGCCCGACCCCCACCCCCCTCCCCCCTGCTCGAACTGGGGGGGGAATTTTTTCCTTCCCCCGTCACAACCTGGTGGGGCGGGGGCGGGGGGGTCGGATTTTGTTCCATTCCTCGCCCCCCCCCCACACACACCCCACCCCCCCGTCACAGCTGGGGGAGTGGGGGCGGGAGGTCCGCCGCCACCCCCCATCCTCCCTCGGTTCGGGGGCGGGGGCGGCCAGCAATGGTAGGAAGCGTTCTCTCACGCGTTCGTAGCAGTGTTGGACATAGCACGTGCGAGCCATGACGGGCCGCCACGAGGCCCCAGCGCACAACGCGCGCCAAATCGCCACCCCGTCCTCGGACGGTGCCACCCGCGCCAACGCGAATGTCACGCCACTGTCGTTGCTGCCTCTCGCGCCGCCTGGTGGATCTTCCCTGTTTTCGGCTGGGCCAGACCGAAGCGACGCTGAGTTGCGCCAGGCTGCACCAAACGAGTGGAACCTCGGCGCCAGCGGATGAATCCTTTGATCCAGACGTGTCGCGCTTGTAGCAAATTGGACGCTGGGCGCAGCGCGGCTGCGCCAGCTTGCCTGTAGACGATTGCCTCGACTTTCTCAGCATGGGCCGTTGACTTTGGAAGGGCACCGCCAGTGCCTTTTGAAACCCCGTTGCATAGTTTACATATCGCGGCGCTTCCACATGCCGATGCAGGTTTGACCGCGGAACTGTGGCGCTACGAAAGATGTACTAATGCTTTGTGGGCACGAATTCCTCCCGAGTCACTCAAACAATTTCGCTTTTCCCGCATCCCGCGCGCAGGTTGCGTCGTCTTTCCAGCCCCACCTGCGCCGTTCCTGCGGACCACCCTCACTTGCGCGGCCCGCGACGATTGGGCGAGCACCCAGCCAGGGGCGCCAAAGTAGGGCCCATCGATGCGCGGCCCACGGTGCAGCCCAGGGAACCAGCGCACGTTGCGAGGCACCACTATCTCAAAAGCTTGGGCGACCACGACAGGCTCGCGACTTAACGCCCTCGCGATCTCGCCGATATGCCCACGCTGCCGCTGGAGACAAAGCAAGAAATCCTAAGAACGACAAAGAAGCTCCAACCACGATCCTCCCACACCCTCCTCCTTCCTTCCTTCCTTCCTTCCGACCGCGTGGCGCGCGCTCGCAGCGGGGCGGCGCGCCTAACGGGGCCGCCAGGCGCGGGCACTTATATCCCCCGCAGGCGGGCCATCTCACGCCCATCCCACGGCGCCCCCCCTCCGCGGCCAGGGGGCGCGGCCGGTGGCGCCCGACGCTGCCGCGGGGGGGGCCCTGCCCGCCAGCCCTGCAGGGAGGGGGCCCCCTGGCGGCCCCCCAGCGCCAAGCTGAACGAGCGCCGCTGAGGGGGTCGCCTCTGGCAGCCCCGCTTAGGACGGGCGGCTGCGCGGCAGGCGCTCTCGCCAAAGCAGGGCGGCGCCGGGGGCGGGATCGGGCAAGGCCAACGAGGGCGGCAACCCCAGATCCCCCCTTGGGCCCGCCGCCAGACGCCCCCGACGGCGCCCGAAGGCGGTCCGCTGCAGGAAAAGCAGAACCAGCTTTACGCTGCACCTGAGCCAGCCGCCCCTGGGCGTCTCCGCCAGCGGCCTCTGGGGCCCCGGCTCGCCCGATCTGCTCGCGAAGAACCCCGGCAAGGCCGACGGCCCCGTATAAGTTCCCAGGCCAACGCCCCGAGGCCGGCAAGCCGGGGCCGCCGACGCCGCGGGGGCGGCCCAGGGAGCCGAGGAACGCCCCAGCGCGCTGCGCCCCCGGCGCTCGCCCAGCCCCTCCCCCCCGACGGACCTATGGCGCGGGCGACCTCCCGGGCCGCGCCGCGCCCCCCCCTCCGGCACGGCCCTGGCGGGGACAGGGAAAGGGCAGGGCGGGCCAAGGGCTAGGGGCCCCGGGGAAGTGCCCCACTTAACGCCCATCCCTGCTACTCCGCTCTGGCCACTGGGCGCAGCGCACGGCGGCCTCCGCGGCCGCGGCCTCCGGCCGCCTCCAGCCGGCGCGCCTCCGCGGGCGCGCAGGGGCTGCGCGCCCAGCCCGCGGGCGTCGGCCCCGCAGGCGCCAGGCCCGCCGCGGCCAGGGGGCGCTGCCCCGGGCGGGCCTGAGCATTCAGCGAGGCGCCACAGAACCGGCGCGCGGCCACCGCTCCAGCGGCATCGCGTCGGAGGGCGAGGGCATAAGGCGGGCCACGCCTGGACCTTGGGCAGCGCGGCCCCTCCGCGCACTGAGGTCCGCAGCCGCGGACCCGCTGCCCGCCGGCCGCCAGGGGGCCTCCAGCTGAGTAGCCATGCTCGTTCATGGGCGCGCGCGGCGGCCCGCGCCCCGCCCTGGCGCCCGTCTGCGACGGTCGGCCCCGAGCGCGCCCCCGGCGGCTCGGGGGAGCCCCGGCACAGCATTTGCTCGCGGACGTCGCGCGTCCAGGTGCCGGGCGCGCCCTGGGCGATTGCCAGGGCCGCCTCTGCCGCGGCGCATCTCGGCCCGCCCACCCCGCGCGGCGGAAGAGAAAGGCCCGCGGGATGGGCCCGCGCGCACCGAGAGCACGTCAGGCCCACCGCGCCTCGATGCGGTTGCGCGTCGGCCCGAAGCCCGTCGCGCGGACGCACCGCCCGGCCCTGCAAATGGTCGTCGGGTGGGCGCAGGCTGCGAGGCCGAGGAGGACCTCGTGCCGCACGAACCCCAAATGGCTCATCGTCTGCACACGCCGGCGCCCAACCTCGCCCGCCGCCCTGTCCACGGCAGCGAAGCGCACTCTGCCTGGCTGCCCGGG